CAAACTCAGACACCTCCTGTGCTTCCAAATGACTAGTTAGCATGTGATCCGTAGGAGTCTTCATACATCCCACCTTTACTTCTAGTGAGAATACGGCTGGACCAAACGTTCTGTATTGTTCTTGCCGGATCTCTGCTGATGCTCTTTGAATAGGCCAAAAGAAAAGGAGGACTTGTGGCACCTTACAGACTAACCAATTTATCTGAGCATAAGCTTTCGTGAGCTACAGCTCACTTCATCGGATGCATTCAGTGGAAAATACAGTGAGGAGATTTATATACACACAGCACATGAAAAAATGGGTGTTACCATACATGTTCTGTAGCTCACGAAAGCTTATGCTCAAATAAATGGGTTAGTCTCTAAGGTGCCACAAGTCCTCCTTTTCTTTTTGCGAATACAGACTAACACGGCTGCTACTCTGAAACCTTTGAATAGGCCAGTTTTTCTCCACCACTGGTAGCTGCTACAGAGCAGATCAGATGAGCTCCTGCACTTTTCATTCACAAGAGCCCTCTCTTCCCTGTGTGAGACTGGTTTGCGCAAGAGACTGGACACCCAGTATTCATTCTTCCTCCTGCAGAGGTGAGCGGCAGGGTTTGCTCCCCTGCACAAGTGGCAATGGGTTCAACCCTCCAAACTCTACAGATCGGAGAGGGATCTGCCAAGGGCGTAGACAACTCTGCGCAGAGCCGGTCAGTCACTACCCTGCCTCCCAGCTGCTCCTCCAATGCTATCATAGTGCCAGCAGCTCCCCAGACTGCAGCTTGCATTTGGACCCCACATTGTGGGGGAAGCGGGCCCAGAACACCAACATATGCTGGGCTGCCCGGCGGAAAGAGAGAATCAGACAGAGCACAAACCTCATGGGTGTTGGAGCAAAGCTGTACCGATAGATAATGCACAGGCCTAAGTGAAGGAAGTATCGCAATGAACCTGCAGGTCTGGGTATCCTGTCAGATATTGGCTTAAGCAGTTAGCATAAGGCTTTGAGGCCTGTGAATTTTGGCATAGCTAAATGGCCCGCCAATCACCCTGAGTTTTGGGGAACTGGGAAACATGTGTTGAAGGGGGAAGTGTAGATCAGGTATCACAAGAATACTGAACTGATACCAGGTTTTGGCTATTTTAGGACAGGAAAATCCATAGCTTTCTGACCACAAGAGTGCCATGGCAATGAATTGACATATATGGTAAGCAGAGCTCATGAATATATCACCCTATGGGGTAAGTGCACCCGAACATTAATAGGGTGAGGCAATCCAAATAAGGAAAGGGGCTGAAACCCCGACTAAATAGTCATTAGACCTAATGGTGTCATCAGCATAACACATCACAGACGTTGTATCCCTGCCTGTGTGCCTGGGGGAAAGGCAGAGATGGAGGTACTTGACAGCCACGGGCGATGGTGATGGCGAACGTTTCAGGTTGTTCTGCCAGGGATGGTGTGAGTATATGGCTGTTCAAAGATACACGCTGTATTAGCTCTGTCTGCCTCGCAGGGTTAGAGCGTTGGTGACTTTGCTAACTGAAATAACAAACGACTATGCATACAGCAGGGTTTTCCTATGTGAGTGTGTTGCTCCCGTGCATCTTGGGCTTCCCACTTGAACAGTAATTTTAATAATACCGGGCCTGATCTTGGGCCAAGACCTATCAAACCTCAGAGTGTTAACTAGGAATTCTTAAGTAAGCAATATAAGTAATACATAATCTATGGATCAGGCAACACATCCCCCACCCCATCCATATCACCTGGGGTCAGCTGCCCATCCCCCACATAAGCACGGGGGAAATAGAGTTTGGTGCAAACTCCCAGAGCTTCACAGAGGTAGAGTGAGGTCTTTTATCCCAAACTAACTGCTGTGGAGACGTGTAAACCGTGGAGCTGGGCAAAATCTTCCAAACAAAACTCTTTTTTGAGGCGGGGGGAGGATGCATACAAAAAAATGCAGATTTGGAGACACCAGAATGTTTCACGACTTTGTGTTAGTTTCACTGAATCGTTTATTTAACCCCCCTCCCTCCCCACACACACTGAATGCATCCGATGAAGTGAGCTGTAGCTCACGAAAGCTTATGCTCAAATAAATTGGTTAGTCTCTAAGGTGCCACAAGTACTCCTGTTCTTTTTGCAAATACAGACTAACACGGCTGTTACTCTGAAACCTGTTATTATCTTTAAGTGCTCCTTTTGTATCACGATCGTCCAGGGGCCCCACTGGTTGTTTAGCAGGCTTCCTGCTTCTGATGTACTTAAAAAAACATTTCGAGTTTTTGGCTAGCTGTTTTTCAATCTCCTTTTTGGCTTTTCTTGTTACATTTTTACATTTAATTTGGCAGTGTTTATGCTCCTTTCTATTTAGTCACTAGGATTTCACTTCCACTTTTTAAAAGATGCCTTTTTATCTCTCACTGCTTCTTTTACATGGTTGTTAAGCCACGGTGGCTCCTTTTTAGTTCTTTTACTGTGTTTTTTAATTTGGGGTATAGAGTTAAGTTGAGCCTCTATTATGGTGTCTTTGAAAAGTGTCCATGCAGCTTGCAGGGATTTCACTCTAGTCTCTGTACCTTTTAATTTCTGTTTAACTAACCTCCTCATATTTGCATAGTTCCCCTTTCTGAAATTAAATGCCATAGTGTTGGGCTGTTGAAGTGTTCTTCCCACCACAGGAATGTTAAATGTTATTATATTATGGTCACTATTTCCAAGTGGCCCAGTTATAGTTACCTCTTGGACCAGATCCTGCGCTCCACTCAGGACTAGATCGAGAGTTGCCTCTCCCCTTGTGGATTCCTGTACCAGCTGCTCCAAGAAGCAGTCATTTAATTTTGTCTCTGCATTTCGTCCTGAGGTGACATGTACCCAGTCAATATGGGGATAATTGAAATCCCCCACTATTATTGAGTTTTTTATTTTAATAGCCTCTCTAATCTCCCTTAGCATTGCATTGTCACTATCACTGTCCTGGTCAGGTGGTCGATAATAGATCCCTACTGTTATATTCTTATTAGAGCATGGAATTACTATCCAGAGAGATTCTATGGAACATGTGGATTCATTTAAGATTTTTATTTCATTTGATTGTACGTTTTCTTTCACATATAGTGACACTCCACCCACCCCCCCTTTCCCCCCGCATGACCTGTTCTGTCCTTCTGATATATTTTGTACCCCAGAATGATTGTGTCCCATTGATTGTCCTCATTCCACCAGCTTTCTGTGATGCCTATTATGTCAATATCCTCCTTTAACACAAGGCACTCTAGTTCACCCATCTTATTATTTAGACTTCTAGCATTTGTGTACAAGCACTTTAAAAACTTGTCACTTTTTATTTGTCTGCCCTTTTCTGATGTGTCAGATTCTTTATGTGAATGTTTCTCATCTGATCTGGCCCATACTTTATCCTCTTCCATCCTCTCCTCCTGACTAAAACCTAGAGAATCTCTCTCAATAGACTCTCCTCTAAGAGAAGTCTCTGTCCGATCCACATGCGCCTCTGCAGCAATCGGCTTTCCCCCATCTCTAAGTTTAAAAACTGCTCTGCAACCTTTTTAATGTTAAGTGCCAGCAATCTGGATCCACTTTGGTTTAGGTGGAGCCCATCCTTCCTGTATAGGCTCCCCCCTCCCAAAAGTTTCCCCACACTAAGCAAAAAAGGGTGACCATTTAAAAAAATCCATTTTAATAACAGTACACATGAAATTTACATTGATTTTGTCACCACTCCTCTTTTCCACCATGGATCATATTGAAAGATATTTGCCGTTCCGTCTTTAGTTCTGCCATGGATTCCTTTTTTCTCACACTCTGTTCTAGGACAGACACTGACCCTGCCTTCAGAAACAGGGAAGAACTTATCAGCTAGAGAGAAATAGGAGGCAAACAGTCCAACTGTTACCCCAGCTAGTCAGTAAGTCCCTGAATTTTATGGACACGTTGCCTCCTTGGGCTGCTTTGGTTTTCTGCACTGTCTCACAGGGAAATTTTCTATAAGAACTAAAATGCTACCTTTCCTCCAAAAACGGGATTGCATACAAGGGACCTGGTCCTGCAAAGACTTACTCACTTGCTCAATGTTATGCTCTGTGACTAGTCCCATTGACTTCAGCAGGGCTTCCCTCAGTGCACAGCGTTAAACATGTGCTTGCATTAGTCTTTACAGGATTGAGCGGATAGACTCCGATCCCGGTAACATTACATCCATGGGAGTAGGATTAAACCCACTGCTCTCGCTATATGACAGGGACCGGTCATTAAGGCAACTGATTTGGAGTGCTTCAGTCTTTTGGTGCCCATCTTGAGAGGATTCAACTTTCGCAGGCCCTACTGACTTCAACTAGAGCTGTGGGCACGCAGCACTAATGAAAATTAGGCCCTAGGGGGGGTCTCAGCTTGGGCACCCTAAGTTAGTGGCACCTTTTGAAAATGTTGGCGTTAACCTTTTCAGCCTTGTATATGACCTTCTAGAATGGTTTCCAGTTCAACCGGTTATTAAATATGAAATATAAGGGCCTGGTTTGCAGAGGGTCGCAACCCAGCCTCTGATTTTGCACCGGTTTCAGAGTAACAGCCGTGTTAGTCTGTATTCGCAAAAAGAAAAGGAAAAGGAGTACTTGTGGCACCTTAGAGACTAACCAATTTATGCTCAAATAAATTGGTTAGTCTCTAAGGTGCCACAAGTACTCCTTTTGATTTTGCACCAACAATCAACTGCAGGTGCAAAATTATGGAGGTAAATTAGCCCATTTAGACAGCCGGTTACCTGATTTCTTGGCACAATCAGCACTAAGGCTGAAGAGAGCCTAAGGGAGTTAGGTATGCCATTGAAATTCAGTGGGATTTGGGTGCCCAAATCCTTTAGACCCCTTGAAAATCTCAGCCCAAAGTACTTTGCCAACTAGTTCACAATCACTTGCATAGGGGGTTCTCTATAAATAGATTCACAGATTAGATCACCTTCCTAGAAAGATGACTTATCACCAGAAGAATCAGATTTGCCCTTTTTGTCTCGCCCTATGTATTATGCAGTATGTTTGTGAAGCTAAGTTCTGCTACAGTGACTATTCTGCTCGCTGGGCTGAACAAAATGAGTAGGTACCCTCATAGATGCTGGTTTTCATATGCTACATCAAACAGAGCCCTGAAATACAGCAGAGCCTCTTGCTGGAGCTCAAGGGCACTGTGATGCATGAGAGACATCAACTTAGAAATGCATTAAAGTGCCAGTGGTAAGAGCTGATAGGAGGTTTATTGGTGATGAGAGATTGTGTGCGGTGATGGCTTCATTGACCCCAGATCTTCCAAGGATAGGCTGAAGGTTGTTTTTTTTTTTTGTCTGGTGTATGAGGTAGCTGAGACTGGTAGCACTGGACTGGATGCAGCTGTCAGCAACCCAGCATTTCCTCTGATGATTTCTCTCTCCTCTGGTGTATATTACTGACGGCTGGAGGTGGGACGTCATTGATCTAGCAACTTGTCGGCTATCTAGCAAGTGACAGGGCTGCTCAGCTCCCCAGGGGGCAGAGTTAAGGTGAGACATTGGGGAAAATATGGGGATTCACCGGATGCCCAGTGCAGAGCACGTGTGCTTGACACACCGGCACATAGAGCCTCGCAGTAGCGGAACTGCTCCACAGTAGTGAGAAGCAGAGGATTAGGGGGTTTTAAAAGGCACAGGAGAAATGGCTGTTTGAGATGAGGAGTGCAAGGGCTGGCCTGTATCCCAATTCATGCCCAGCAATGGGATACAGACTCTCCTCCCTCCACCCCATCAGGAAGCAAAGTAGAAGCTAAGAGGTTATTTAGACTGTGAGCGCTTTGGGGCAGGGACTGTCTGCTATTCTTGGTTGGCTCTTGGGCACTACTGTGATGCACATGATCAATAAGTACGGTCTCCTGGGTCAAAGCTCCTCCCCCAGGAAGTTCAGCCACATTGGAGGTGGGTGTTCCTTTTTGCTGGTGGGAAGCTCTGTGTGTTAATTACACACTGGCCAAGGATTTCTGTGTGTGGCATAACCGAGTTCACAAGTGGCCTCCCTGGCCATCCGTTGAGTACCTCCAATAGAACGTGCTCAGTGACACAGCCCCATGTAGCGCGGCAGGAGAAGACAGCCCTACCTGCCTTTGGTTCGAACAGGCTTCTGGTGCCAGTAGGGATGGTGCTGTTTAAAGTCAAGTGCTGTGGCCTACTGCTAATGCCCTGTGCTGCCATGGAGTAAACTTTGGTTGATTTCCACCCCTGTGGTGGAGTAATGCAGGAGGCCAGGCACTCGGCAACTGGAGGGAAATGCTGTGGATCAATCACAACCTGTCCAGGTGACTGACGATTTGCGCCGATGGGCTCCAACCAAGGGGGCGTTTTGCTCAGCTAGGAAAACCATGGCCAAGTCATCTGATCCCAGCAGGAGGTGTGTAGCATAGAGGGTGGAAAGCAGGGTTATTCTCAGTCCTGGGTTGAGGATGCAGAATAACCTGCCTTTCCTGGAAGCAGTAGATACACTTTCCTAAGTGGTAAATCAGTCAGCAGTTTGTGCTCCTTGTGCAAGTTTGATTGAGTCTGTTCCTCTCCTTCGACAGGCCAGAGCAATTCAGTTCAGAGACGAGTCACTGAGCGGTAGGAATGTCACCACAAGCTAAGCCGGCGCTTGCTTTGGACAGTAAACGAAGCATAGACTGGTAAAGAGTGTTGTGGAGTTCCTGGCTTGTGTACCCAGCCTGTGCAGTTTAACCCACTTGTGACTCCTTCAGAGGCCAGTTTTTGCGGCGATCCAATCCCGATAGTAAGTCACTCGTGTGTAGACGCCAGGTTTATTTTTTTTAGCACATTCGTCTCCCCAGCTCACTATTCCAACAAGGAACCAGACTCCTCTTCTATCTTCAGTGACCAGAGGGCCACCAGAGTCACCCTACAGGGGAGAGAAAGGTGGAATTCAGCAGGAAGAAACTGAGAGCAAAGCAGGTGGATTTATTTAAATATTAAAGCAAATCTTAAAGCCAATTGTTCAAATTCATTTACTACATAAGTAACATCACACTTGAGAATAAGGTCACAGGCTGCTGGCTGGTGGGTAAGTTATTTCTGGTATTCCTGAAGGATTTTTTCTACCAACTTCGCTGATAGAAGCTATATCTTCCCCTCTCAATATATGCAAGGTGAGCAGAGGAGCTATGTATTCTTTCATCCTCTGGCGGGAGACTTACTCCAATAGTATGGTGTCATTTTATCTTTACACAACAATAAATGAAGAAACATACAGGCACGCCGGGGCCCAGATAATTACGTAGATTGGATACACACAACGTGCAAGCCTTGGCTACATATACACGCGGCTGCTCTGGCCGGGTTCTATTGGCTTCTAAATCATGGAATACAGTGAGCACCACTGGAAGGCTCACAAACTATTTTAAGGGATATTACCCTATTCCTAGCCACTAACACGTGCCTTTTAGGAGTCAGTTAAAATCCCAGCTTTGAAATGGACGACTTCATTCACTTAGCCCAACATTTTCAAATCTAGCAACACAGAGTTAGTCTCCTACCTTAGGCACCGAAATGAAAGAGACCCGTTTTTCAGAAGTGCTAAGCATCCAGAGCTCCTTAATGTAGCAAACCAGATGGTTTCGTGCCCTCTGTGAATCCATCTACTTTTACGTAGATGCCTAAATACCGATTTAGGGCCAACATTTTCAAAAATAGCAGCCTAAATTCAAGCTCCTGTATCCTTACTGAAGTCGTTCAATAGGTGACGTGATTTTCAGATGTTCCTAGCACACAGCAGCTACTCTTGACTTCAGAAGGAGCTGTTGGGTACTCAGCACTTTTGAACATCAAATCAACTACTTAAGTGTCTAAATAAGGCTTTAGGAACCTAAACGTAGGCACTGAGGTTTGAAAATCTTGACCTGATGGCCCTTTCCCTCTTCATTGGTTTCCCCATCTGTAAAAGAGGTGTACGAATTCATACTGACCTAGCCTACAGGAGCACTGTGAAGATTCAATTAATGTTTATGAGCCTTTTGACAATTAAACAGGGTAAATATTTTTGTAATTATCATAACTAGCCAAAGTGAATCCATTTAGGATAAATGAAATAAGTCCTCTCAAACCAGTCAGCTAGCCTGTGGAAATTCACTGCTGCAGAAGGTCTTAGAAGGTCAACTACTGTAGCTGGAATTATCAAAGGACTGGGTAATTCTATGCCCAGCAATAACACCTGTTTCCATGCATGCTTTGATAAAGGTAAATTACGCCCACACTCCAAATTGATCACCTGCCCAGGGGACAGGAATTAATTCATTGGTTCCCAATATAACAGTGGTCAGATCAGCCAATCTTATATAATGGGCTAGCCCCAGGATCCGCAAGTGAATGCAAGTATTTATTCATGTAATTACAAACTTAAAATACATGTTTTAGATTGCAAGCTCTCTACGGTTTGGCCCCTATCGTTGAATGGGTTTCTCTAGCGCCTGGCAAAATGGGGCCCTGATTTTAACTGGAACTCCTGGGTACCACTGTCAGCCCAATACTAAAAACAGAGGGTGGGATTTTCAAATGCACTCAGCCCTGGCCTAGCTCTGCTCCTGCTGGCGCCAATGGGAATATTCTCATGGACTCCAGGGGTGCAGAGCTAGGCCAGCACTAAATGCATTTGAAAATCCTGTTCTAAGCTGCCCTCCTAACAGCTGCAGCCAATCCAGCATTGGTGCATCTACCAGATCACAGAGTATACTGCACTGCAAACTGGAATGTGCAGGGGACGATGATCCTCAGTGTTACTCAGACCCACAGGACAATGGAGATGCCGCTGTCAATTGTGAGAAAGGCATTAAACAGCCTCAGTAGAAATCAACCTTCACTGCATTTATTGAGAAGATGGTCAATGTCATTGTGTGTCCACCTCAAACATATGTTGGTGAAACCTTTATACCTATCACACCCTCATGTATATACTCTCTCTTATATATATATATCTATATATCTATAGATATATATACACACACACATAAATTATACACACAGGGCCAAAGACTCACCTGCTGTAAATCAGCCTAGGACTGCTGAAGTCAACGGAACTATGCTAATTTACACCATCCGAAAATCAGGCCCCTACAGTTTTATCATTACAGTTGTTCAGGGTACATGCCCCATGTTCACTATTGCAAACCCCCACCCCATGGGCGTGCACAGGAATTTAAATCTGAGCCCTATGGGGGGGGGCACAGAAGCTCGCTCCCCCTTCCACCCCGCTGCCCGATCTTCCCTCCCTCCACCCTGCCCCGGCCAGAGCTCAATCTTCCCTGCCTCTGTGGCCCTGGGGCTGGAGAAATTCTGTGCCCCCCAATGATTACGGGGCGGGGGGGGCTGCTTGCCCCCTCTTGAGCACGTCCCTGCCCCACCCCCTTATAGTCTCCTATTTCTTTCTTTGCGTCATCCCTGGATTTTTACAATCTCCAAAAATAGCAATCTGCTATCATGGGTCTCTTTGGTGCAGATATAAGTAATGTGCTCTGAAGTTGTGGATTGTAATAGACTACCTCTTCCCTCCCCAGCTCCCACAGGAGCTCTGTAAATCAGAACCCTGAGCTGGACGCCGGTGTAGTCTGTTAAAATGCGTATGTTCAGAGACCACCAGGCGCAGGGAAGTATCTGTCTGCAGTTCTCACGCTGATCAGTTCTCCGCATTGATATTAGACCTACCTGGCAAGCATCTATTTCCCCCTCCAAGTATCCAGCACACACCATCCCAGGTGCGATGGCCCCATTGTACACTTCTGCTCTATTGCAAATGTTCGTGTCTATGATCTTCACTTCCGCTTGCCGGAGATTATTAATGCTTGAACCTAAAATGGGAAAGAAAGGATTTAGAATTTACAAATGGGTTCTACAAGCCAAGGCCTGGGGGGAGCAGGAGGAACCAACAAATGCTCAGCTTCCATTTCAGCGCCTAAAGGAAGTGGCCAGGTTGACACTTTGGGAAGAGAACAGTTTATCCTCCTTCGGCCTCTCACTTGCCCCAAACCCAGCTGCCTCTTCAGCATCCATCCCCACAGGGCGCCTTAATCCAAGTCCCCCACCCCATTCATTTTTTGACCTCACCCCTCTAATATAATGGACACAGGGATTTCTGGTGCCGAGGTCCCAGCTGTGCACTGTGGGGAGTTAATACATGTCTGTGAGATCAGAAAGCCCCAATGAGAATATGGTTTTGGACAATCCATGATTACAGCGAAAGTCTAATATAGGTATAGGCTCCAATTCAACAATGCTCTTAAGGTTTAGCGTTAAGTCCCACTGATGTCAATCTGTCTTAAAGTTAAGCATGTGCTCAGTGGTTAAGTGAAGAGAACTTCTAGGGCAAATTTAAAGGTTCTGGAAGCTAGATAACACCAAGCCGATGCCAGATGTATAAACAAAGGCAATGGGACAGAAAGGAAGCTGGTGACTGAATGCATGAATGAAATGTGCTTAGCCTTGCTAATGGCATAAACAGCAACAGGGGACTCTTTTCTCGTCCTTGCACTAGTGGCTTGCAGCTCTGCCATGTCCCAGAAAATGCCGAATACAATGAACTGAGCCAACCTGCATATAACACGCAGATGCTCAGCCTGGTAATTGATTTGAAGGTCGGTCGGGACCGTTCTGATCACCTGGTCTGACCTCCTGTAAAACTTCACTCAGTGACTCCTGCAGTGGAAAGAATTATTCTTTGAGCCCAACAGCTGCTGGTCGAGCGGGGGTGTCTCGTTTAGAAAGATATCCAATCCCGATTTAAAACCTTTGTGTCAGAATGAATGTCCCACTTCCTTTGGTAAGCTGTGCCAATGGCTAATTAGCCACCAGACTAATCAGATAAGAAACCACATTCACTTGCATAATGAACTGAAAATGAACTAAAAACATAACGTCATGGGAGGGCTCTTTGAGGAGACACTCACCTTCATTCCGTAAAGCGCCCCATCCCGTGACAAAGCAGGTAGTGTTATGTGGGAAGACGTAAAATTCCTCGGGGAGACAGACCATGCGTATGACATTTGTAAATTCCACGGGGGAGGAGAGCTGCACAACAGCGATGTCATAATTGTGGTTTTGAACGGCATCAGAGTATTTTTCATGAATGATGATGTTGCGGATGGATCTTCTGCTTTGCGGAGGTCTTATGACAGTTCCAAAGCTAGCCGTCCACCTACTGGGATTCTGTTGTCTGAAAGAGATACAAGATTAGATCACAGGCATACACAGACAATTTTTCAAAGAGCTCAGCTCCCAGTTAGGCACCCAAATGCAGAGCTACATGTGGGAAGCACAGAGCTTGGCCAGAACACTGCTGTGCTCCAGCAATCCCCTGAGGGATGTTGCCAGCTGGTATAAGTTAGAAAAGCCCCAAGGTTGCTCTAACTTGCACTGGTGGCTGAATTGACACCAAGCAGCCCGAGGGCTGGGCGGAATTGAAAGGTAGAATACAGCCATCTTTGACTTCCACCACCTCTCAGGTCTCTTCCCAGGCACAGCTCAGAGCCAAACTGAAGGATCAGAACCTGGATACATCTAGGGGTTCTGTTTTGGTTCCAAATGTCACAGAATTCCAGATTGGTGTCTGTAAGGGCACACAGTCTTTTACAGCATCCTCTCTCCAAGCTGGGATCTTACCCTCTAAAGCAGTGAGCTGCAGTTATAAGCCACGTGTTACTGATCAGCGTTGCACCGCAGCGGTGGATACCGCTCAGCTGAAGACTAGCCTGCCATGGCCACTCGCCAACCTGGGCAGAGATGCCTCCCGTTATTCTGTTTGCGTAGGAAAGCGATTTACTTGTTCGTATCCCACAACCTATCAAAGAAAGGACCGACTTAGCTGGACTGCTCCCCAGGAAAGAAAGACAAGCTTTTGTTTGGTGTATGTTCCCAGCATGCTGAATACAAATGGCTGCTTGCATTTTGTTAGTTATAACATAGCTGTCATCAAATGAACAGCATTCAGATAAACAGATATGACACCACAGCTGCACTGATATTCAACCACAGTCACACAGGGTGAGATTTCACACACACACACACACACACACACAATATTAGGCACACAGAAGACATACATAGTCAAGTATAATGACAACAAAAACCAAACAAACAATCTTAAAATAAGAATGAACCAAAATATATTGTATTTATAATTATGCCATTTAAATAACCACCCCACCCTTGTATCTAGATGTAAGCAGAGTCAGGATGAGCTCTACCCTGACATCTGGTGGCGAGTCATGGTGGGTTGTGGAAAAGAACTTCAGGGGCTGATCTCATTTGCATAGGCACACACCCCCTGCCTGTAGGAGCCCCAGTTTCTCTGTTAGTGGGGCAGGAATAAACTGTTATTATCCTGATTATGTGAATCAAGGAGAGTGGAACTGTACTTGGCCTTTTGTTATGATGGAGGGACTCACCATCAAGTAAGCAGCACTCGCTAGGCAAGGGTCATGGGTTCCAACTCCCAGTGAATGGAGAAAGGCTGGGGACAGGTATTAATATACTTGGTGGTATAGGCCCCCCTGGTGAGGGCCTTACATGCTAATTGTACTTCCTCCTGTCTCCACTGTGGAATATCAGAGCTAATTTTGATTCTATTAGGAGTCTAGTTACAGGCTGCTGAGCTGAATTCACTTTGGGCTAATGGTGCACCAGCACTGAGGCTCCCCTACTACAAGCTGAAATCACAAAAGAGCTGAACTGACTAAGAGCTGAAATCACTGAGTGTTGTGTTAAGTAGTGGGGGAGCCTGAAGATATATTGCGGAGTAGTTTGTGGGACGGCTGGCAGAGCGGAGCGGAGCAGTTTGTGGGATGCCTGGAGCAGCTCATGGGGTGGCTGGCAGAGTGGAGCCCCATGGAGAGGTGGGGCCATCAGCTTTCGACCACGTAAGGTGCCCCTTAACCCCCCACCCCCATCTCCACCCAGGTTGGGAGGTAAAACTCTGCAGATAAACTTTTGAACTCTGGGGCTCCCCCGACCAGGGACAGAGACTTTTGGGTCATTGGACTTTTGGGACTTCGGGTGATTTTGGGTTGCTGGACTCAAGGACCAAAGGGAAAGGACATGCCCCAATTTGCTTGGGGTGGGTTTTTTGCTCATGGGTTGTGTTATGAATCCTGTTGGTGGTGTTTCCCCAACATAATGCCACATTGTTTCTCTCTGTTATTAAAAGGCTTTCTGCTACACTCAGACTCTGTGCTTGCGAGAGGGGAAGTACTGCCTCTTGGAGGCGCCCAGCAGGGGTGGTATATATTTGTCCCAGGTCACTGGGTGGGGGCTCGAGCCGGTTTTGCATTGTGTTATTGGAATGGATCCCCTAGATACTGAACCCGGCCCTTGTTGCTGCCAACTCTGCCAACTCTACATAATTAATGTAATGTAGATGGGATATTAATCCTCCCATCTAGCTGCATAAAGAAAAACACCATTATTATTATAAATCATGAGAAGATCTCTTAAAGAATAGTAAAAACATTTAAAAACTAAATACATATCTAAATCATAACCCAGAAGTAAAACACAATTGCAGGTAGGATTAATCTGTATACATGGATTTAACCAAAATAAGCTAAACTCCAACTATTATTGTCCATTTCCTGTAAGGTCAACATTTGTCTGGAGGATGTAATAAATATGGATTTTTGTAGAGATCTATTAAAGTATATTTTGTACAACAGATTGTGTCGGGTCTAGAACTGAGCAAATAATTGATTTTTAGATTTGGGGACTGAACTAAATATCCACTTCGATGAGAAACAAAACCAAAATATTTTCAAATTTTTTCATCAACTCAAAAGATGTGTTTGAATCAATGACAGACCTGAAATGTTTTTGTCGATTCAAAACTTTTTTTTTTAGTTTTTGTTTCAATTCAGCGGATTTGGGGGGGGGGGTTGGTTTTGGTTTGGGAGGGGGGGAAGAGGTCTGACAAAAGTGGGAATTTTCTGACATATTTTTATGATTCCTATGCACGCCTCAGTTTGCCTCTGTACTTTGCATTGCTACCGAATGGCTACACAAGAGTTAAAAAGCTGCTCTTGGGGCAAAGCAGGAGACATAAAGTGTTATGTCATGTAACAGTCTGGGGTGGAATGAGTGGGTCGGTAAAGGACTGGCTGAAACCGACACATATCAATGGCAGGTTCACAAAGATAACAGAAGCCCCAAGAACTGAGCAACTGACACTTATCCAAGGGACGCCCTGACAGGTGGAACTCAGCATAGGTCTGCAGGAACTGGACAGAGAAGTGTCTTGGGGCTGAGATAAGGGTTGGCTTTTGGGAGAGAGACGGCAGCTCTCACTTGGGACTGACAGAGAGAGATGGCAAGCCAGAAGGACTCCCTGGCAGCTTTGCTGGGTGGAAAGCTGGCTTGGCCAGAATGGACTCTGTCTATTTCTCCGTGCTAACCTAAGGACTTGCCAGTGCTGTGTTCAAGGTGACTAATAAATCCTACTCTGTTTTGAAAAGGCTGCCTGGGGTCACTGCAAATGTTTGCTGAGGTGCACTGGTCCCTGAAGAGTGTGAAAGTCTCAGACCAGGAGTCTATCTCAGCTGGTCTCGCTAGGCAGAGCTCATGATGTGGGGCAGGAGGGATGAGCCCAGAAGCTCAGTCTCTGAGGTGGTGAGGCCATGTGCCCAACCCTTGTGGGTCGACCATCTGGCTGACTGACAGGTTTCCTCCAAAGGGCTATTTAAAAGCTGGCTGCAGCACAGATCCGGTGGACGGAGTTCACCCTTTTGGCATATTATCTTAATTGCCCAAATTTGAATTTGAAATGCCATTTCAAGATGAAAAGTCAGAACAAAACAACAATCTGAAATGAAACATTTCTTTGAATTTTTTTCCCATTGTTTTCCCAGCCACAAGTATTTGTTGACCCAAATTCACAAATAATTTGGGAGCACGGAGGGCGGGGGGGGGGGGCTGGAGGGAAGGGCATTTTTTGACAAAAAAACCTATCGGTTGAAAGTGTTTTGCCCAGCTCGAGTCAGGTCACGTTTAACTTAAAATTCAGGTGTTATAAGAGCACGCCTTTGTAAAATGAACAGGAATGTTTCCATTATGGTTTTTTAAATGGAAATTGCAATAGAACTCTTATTAAACTGTGTCTGCAACCTCAATACTGCAGGATAGCCAGATGGTGGAATTGAATGGAACCCAATTCTAAAGAAGAGTGAAACTGACTAGTCTATCTTCATTGCCTAAGCTTAGCAAAAGGCAAAAAGCGACGTAAATTAGATGCTTAATATTCTTTGGGTTTAAATCCTATCGGGAGTCCTGAGTAACTGATGTAAAGATTACGTCTAAGTGCCTGACTTGGCCTTCTGTACTCCTGGAGTGCTAGCTAACTCTGCAAGTCATTCATTAGTGAGCTCTATGCCAACTGCAGAGTCACGTACTGCTCAACGGGAGTGAAGTCAGGCCCCAGAATAAACCACTGCTCACAGACATTGTCCCTTTAAACTTATGCCTGTAGAAACACATGCCTGAGGCAACAGAAGGCTCTTGCACCATATTGTGTAGCCAGAGGTAACCCTGGGCAGAGACGCTTTCAGCAACAGTCTCTGTACAGTATGAAGATGGTGCCAGAGCTCCGTCAGCCAGTGGTTCAGACCTGAGACCCCATCTCCAAGTACCACAATAGGCCTGCCTTGCCGAGAGGCACCGGGGTGCAAAGAATGGGGCAATGAACTAGACAAGCGTTCAGGTGACCTGGGTTCTAGTCCCATCTCTGCCACTTGCCTATTGTATGACCTAAGTCACTTTACCTGTTTCCTCTCTCTCCTTGTGTCGACACAGACAAAGACCTGCCTCTTAGTCTGTGCTTGTACAGCACCCCACACAATGGGGCCCTGATCTCAGCTAGAGCCTTTAGCCCCTGCTGCAATACACAACAGCAACAGCAGTCTGGGTGATCCCCAAATAAAAGCTATGACCTCAGCCTTTTCTCTGTGACCTGTGTAAAGGCCTGGCTTTCTCTTCCTCCCCAGTGAAGCTATATTTGGTCCCACATCCTCTATGTCTAAGTGTGCCCCCTGAACATCACCTTTCCCATTGTCCCCCAGACCTCAGTCAGGTACGGTATGCTGCGGGTCAATGCCCAGGGTGGAATGCTGACATCTCCAGAGCACGCATCAGCACCGGTTATGTAAAAGCTGCCAGCCCAAGCTGAACTGGGGCGGCGGGGCCAAGGTTGGTCACTCTGTCCTCGGAGTCACTGCTCAAGGCTTGACTGAGAGTTCTCACGGAACCGAGAGCAAATGCGGCACTAGCATCAGGGAGACGCATTATCAGTCCAGGGTGAGCACTAAGCCCTTCACGAAACCAGAGTGCTCTGCCTGAAAGAAGACATCGAGGCCTACCGCTGTCACTCGGGGGCTGCACCTTTACCACCGGGAGCAGGAATGGGCCTGGGGCAATCGGAGGCTTCAGTCAGTTGCTCCTGGAGGCTGGTTGTATACCGGGTGAGAAGTGGGATGCTCAGCGCTTTGCTGGCAGTAATTACAAACCAGGGAGGAGCTGTGTCAACCACCAACAGGGTATGCACCGTGGCAAGCAGGACTTCAAAGCCTTGGGCCCTCCAGACATCTCAACGCATAAGGTCTAGCTGACACCTTAGGATGTGCCAGGGTGAGCAGTGTAGATCCAGCAAGCAGTGTATATACAGATGCTCATGGCTGGATCTGCAGAAGTGCTCAGTACCCAGAAGCTCTTATCAGCATCTACCTGAGACTCAGAACTGTGGGCAACTCCCCCTGCAGGGAGGAGACCATGTCGACATTTGTGAACCAATCTCAGAGCTGTCTGGTCCTTTTCAAGGCAGCCGTATCTGCTCAGGAGAGGCACAGTCCAGTCTGCATTTGGAACTGGAGCTGGCTGGGAATTTTTCAGTGAAACTTCTTTTCCTTTGGAAAATCCTGATTTCTTAAAACCAAAACGTTCATCAGGGTGTTGTCTCAGGTCCAGGATGGAATTGCTATGGGTGTGAGACACGAACCCCATCACCACCCCAGAATAACCAGGGGCATGATGTTTAGAGCCAGGAGCAGCAGAAACTCCGTAAAAGTGTGTGTTGGGGGGCACTGGCATCCAAACTGTGGCCCCCACCCATTCCCCCAAGATCCCGCCTTCCGCTCACTCCTTTCTGCCTCCTCTCTCCCATTCCTCACCCTTACGGACAGTAAAAAGTGGGAGGGCTATGTCTTTCCACTTTTAAAAGTGATGGGGCCATGACCCCCCCTGGCCGCCCCCGTTCTGGCACCCCTGAATAGGGCAGTCAGCTGGGATATGAGTGACTCAGATTCTAGTCTGTGCTCTGCCAGATATAGATCAGGGTCTTGAACCCACATCCCAAGGGAGTGCCTGGACCACCAAGCTGTTGGCTATTCTGGGGTGCTGCCCCTCTCATTTGTTTCTGAAAAGGTTCAAGAAGCCTTGGTTTCATTCCAGTGCAGAACAGGAAATCCCACACCATTTTCATGGGATGGGAAAACCATTTCTTGCTCAGCTCTATGGGGAACAGCTCTCAAAGTCAGAATATAAAACCTGTCCAGGCAGTACAGTGCCATCCAAAGCCGGGCGGAAGCCAAGGCTCCAAGGAGGAGCTGAAAATTCTCAGGACATCTGTGGTGGTGCAGTCATCAGCCTCAGTCAGCACGAACATGCAAGTCCCAAGGGCAGGGAATGCCTGTCCGGTGGACTGACCCAGCTGGTACCTATTGTCAAACCACTAAACAAGGTAGAGTTGTTGTGGGGAGCAAGGTGGACGTGCATCTACTGCAGCCAGTAGTAGCTAATCAGTGGAGCTCCTTCACGACCAGAGTCGGAGAGGAACCAGCAGCTGGAGCAACAGGGGATGCCTCCACTCCACTTCAGGGATGGCGATGGATCCAGCAGTGGTACGATAGCCACCTTGAAAGCTCTCACCTTGGTCACACACAGCAGCACGGTATGGTAGCTAGATCGCCGGACAGAGGCATGTTCTCCAAAGGCTAACCTCTGCAAAAGATAGATCCCTGTGGGGACAGATAGCTCCAGGCAGGTAGGTCCATGCCTCTCAGGGGAGTGTTCATGATGGCACCTCACCAGCAGGTGGCCTACACCTCCACATATTTGTATGAGCAAAACAAAAATACTTCCCTCCCCCTCCCCCAACAAAGTTTTAGGAACAAACAAGCAGAGTGGCAGGCTTCCAGCACAGAGGAGCCTTTCTCCAGGCGGCAGCAGGGAGGAGGGATGAACCAAGCAATCAAAGCAGCAGAGCAAAGGACTCTCCCACCGTCACTGGGATGGGTGGGGAATTATGAGCCATCACGGCTCTTACATACCATATCTGTTAGCTAGCTCAACAGCTCAGGACCAGGACCTGCATCCCAGCACGTACATGAGGCATGGTGCTGCGAATGGGATCTGTCTGCAGGCACTGTGTCCTGAAAACCTGTATGGCAGGTACGTCCGTTCTTTTCCATTACTGCAGAGTCCCCGAGCTAGTAACTATGCACAATGGAGAATAAAACCTAGTATAGAACTGCAAAAAATGACACTGTCAAGTCCATGAATTGTGAACAGCTGGGAACTACTTCAACCATATATACTGAAATTGCAACACCCCACCTAACTACAAAGAGATGCACCAATAGTCTAACTACAATGCTGAATAATAATATGGCATAAAGACAATCAAGTCCAAAGGCTATGGGCTTGATGCAAAGTCAGTGGAAGTCTTTCCGTTGACTTCAGTGAGTTTTAGATCAGGCCCTATTGATGCAATGTATACCGTACATTTCCTAGCTAGGGATTCCTGCAAATAAATCCTTCACTTCTTGAGTCAGCAGGTACAAATAATATCGGTTACATTTGTCGCCAGAAGAAAATCAATCTCCCTGTCCCTCGTGTGATTATTAATGGCTAGTGTGACAAAGTTCCTCCTCTACCTTGGTGGGTCTTGCGCTTATTGGCGGATTTGCTCACCTCGGAGATTCACGGCAGCCCTCAGTTTGGCCATTTTCGTGAACCCACAGTCCAGGTCAATTTCTCCTGTGTCTGACCAGGAGCTGGGAGGTTTGGGGGGAACCCAGGCCCGCCCTCTACTCCGGGTTCCAGCCCAGAGCCCTGTGGACTGCAGCTATCTAGAGTGCCTCCTGGAACAGCTGTGTGACAGCTACAACTCCCTGGGCTACTTCCCCATGGCCTCCTCCCAACACCTTCTTTATCCTCACTATAGGACCTTCCTCCTGGTGTCTGATAATGCTTGTACCCCTCAGTCCTCCAGCAGTCCGCATTCTCACTCTCAGCTCCTAGTGTCTCTTGCTCCCAGCTCCTCACACACACACCACAAACTGAAGTGAGCTCCTTTTTAAACCCAGGTGCCCTGATTATCATAGAATCATAGAATATCAGGGTTGGAAGGGACCTCAGGAGGTCATCTAGTCCAACCCCCTGCTCAAAGCAGGACCAATCCCCAACTAAATCATCCCAGCCAGGGCTTTGTCAAGCCTGACCTTAAAAACTTCTAAGGAAGGAGATTCCACCACCTCCCTAGGTAAGCCTGCTTTAATTGATTCTAGCAGCTTCTTGATTGGCTGCAGGTGTTCTAATCAGCCTGTCTGTCTTAATTGTTTCCAGAAAGTTCCTGATTGTTCTGGAACCTTCCCTGTTACCTTACCCAGGGAAAAGGGACCTACTTAACCTGGGGCTAATATATCTGCCTTCTATCACTCTTCTGTAGCCATCTGGCCCGATCCTGTCACACTAGAACGTGCTTGGATCCTGTTTTTAAACACTACGGTTTGACTGGAACACTGAAGAATGGATCTAGGGCTGGGAGGCACTGAAAATATATGCCAGGGAGTAATTTTGGCTTATGTTTAGCAGAGATCAGGGCCCCATTGTGCCAGGCCCTGTACAAACACAGAAAGAGTCCCTGCCCCACAGACCTTAGGGTCTAAACAGACGAGGTAGACAGACTGGGAGACAAACAGTATTATTATTATACATATTTTATAGGGAATCGAGGTCCAGAGAGATTAAGGGGAAGACTTACAGACTTACTCTCACACTTAACGTTAAGCATGGGGGTAGGCCCGTTGAGTGGATGCTGGGGAAGCCCTACAGTCAGAAGCTGGGAGGAGCAAAGGGCCATCTCTCCAGACCCCCTCTAAGGCCCAGGAGAAGAGGAAAGGAGCTAGCCAACATTCTGGCATGAAGGCCACCCCCTAACACATCTAAACGACCAGGCGAAAGAGCAGCAATGGCAGCTGGGAGGAGCAGCAAGGACCAAGAAGGCCTCCTGACTCTTCTACATGTCCAAGAGGCAAGAAGCAGGACACTTTCTCTCTTTCATCAGCACTAAAGTCACCTGCCTTCTCTTAGGGGAGACCTCTCAGGAGCCCACAGCCACCAGGAGACGCAAGCTTGTCACCGTGGAAAGCTTGTCCCTACTTCTTCCTAAACAACACAGGTCATCCCCTGTGGCTGAAATGGAGGTAAGTCCCCATGTAGACAATGTCTAGGTACTTATATGGCCCCCGCATCACCCCTCTGTCCAAGCACCTAGTCCTACGAGCCCTACAGTGCCAACCCAGCTACAAGAAAGTGAGCTGATTTCTCTTCTGCCTCATGCATCCTCAACAGAATTGTTTCCTGAATTTCAGCTGTGTAATCCCCTTTCCGGGTGCCAGGCTGACCTGCAGATTTTATAGCACAGTCAGTCAGAAGAATCGTCTTTCTGCTTGTAGACTGAGCACACGTCATGTAGAAATCACTGAAACCCTGAAAGCATGGAACCCCACCATGACATGTCTCTAAGGACCATTAATAAACGGCTTGTACTTACAGTTGTTGAAAAGGTGTTCTCCATTTTCCTTCTTCATCCCTGAAATGAAACACACAGCAGACAGTCAGAACAGCTCACACTTACTGTCCCAGTTGGTCAGGGTGGATTTCCTTAAAGTCCTTGCGGGACATAAGTGATGATTGTTTTGGAGCGCTGCCAGGAGTATTGTAATAGGAGACCAATGAGCATGCCTTACTATTTGTGGGGATTTCACAGTTAGTAAGTCTATTTGGGACTTGATTAGGCTACTGTGGGGTTCCCCCAAGTACAAGCCCTCAGATAGTCACTTGGCTTGAAGAGCGGTCTTGGATGGAGTGTCTGTAAGTGCTGGTCTAAAGTAACCCTGTAAATGCAACCAACTGCAAACACATTGTAAGGATAAGCATGGTATAAAACCCTAAATGGATTAGTTTAGACAAGATAAGGCTGGAAGTCACTGACATCATCATTTGCTGGATCCAAGTTGTAATCAGCTATTGATCTTTCTTCTAGAAAGTTTACATGCTAATCTAATGAACAGACACCCCTATTTGCTCTCCCTCATAATACTAGAACAACAGGGCAATCAATTACATTAAAGGTGGCAAATTTAAAACTGATACAAGAATTCCCCCACCACACACACATATAATGCACAATTAATCTGTGGAACTCATTGCCACATGATACCACTGAATCCAGGAGTTTAGCAGGATTCCAAAGAGGGTTAGAGCCATTTATATGTATAATGAGACCATGCAGAGGTATATTAGATAGGAAACATACATAAGGGACATAATCTCCTCTGATTCAAGAGATTAACTAACCATTAACTGCCTGGCATAAGGGGAAATTTCCCATACAGGCAGATTATTCCATAATGCTTTGTTACAGTAATTCTTCCTCTAGAGCATCTGATATTTGCCACTGTTGGAAACACGATACTGGGCTAGATGGATTCCTGACCTGATCCAGGGCAGCAATTCCTGTGGTCCTACAAGTTACACAATATGACTAGTGTAATTATCCTGACATTGTTTATGTTGAGGCCAGGATAACCAAGAAAAGCAATTGAAAGATAGCCACTGTACTTCACAGCTATAAAGCTGATCAGATTATGTCTCAGTGTTGCCATTTAAAAAGTAACCATTGCCTGTAATTGGATCATTAAAAAAACTTATCTGGTTGCATGCAACATGTCAGCACAATTAGTTATTTAAACACCCTTGCCAACACCTCACCTCTCAGTATAAAAGGAGCATAATTCTCATTGTAAGCAATCAGACACCCATATGGGACTGTTACTGTCCAGTGAGAAGGAGAACTACACTCCAACTCATTGCGGGGGGGGGGAGGGAGGAGCAAATCTCACATGCTGGCCCAGTGGAGTCACCGGCTTCTCTGCTCTGCATGCAAATGCTTCTTCTCTTCCAAGGAGGGCCATGAGGAAACCACGTTAACTGTGTCCAACTCCATTCCTTGGAGGCATTCCATCCATTACAACAGACTGGTGGCTGGCTGTCATCTTGGCCTGGGAAGACCCCAAGATCCAGCAAGCACGGAGTCTGACCCAGTGCTCCTGCATTGTCATGGTTACTCCTGATGCTTCCACATACCCATACGGCCTGTACCTATCTGCAAGGGATAGTCTAAAATAATGTGGTGATGAAGTGGGGTGGGTGACTCTAGCCCATTAGGGATTAAAGTATTCTTCTAAAACCCTTGATTCCTGTTCCGAGGAGACATGCTTAGATGTGTATTGCTTTATCACAGGACGGAGGGATTGGGTGGCTCCAAGCATGGGGCTGGGTGGGAGTACGGGGAATGGCGGCACTTCATAATGGCACAGGTATTTACCTCTTCTTTCCACCCAGGCATTCACCCTGAACAGGGGGCGGTTCCTCCCCCACAGGAAGAAAGAATAAATAAAGCTCAGCCTGATTCACATGCCAAGACAAGAGCCTAATGTGTTTTTTGGAAGTGTCCTCAGCCTTCAGCAACACAACAGAGGGAGCAAGAAGAGTGGGAAACGGAGATCCTTAAAGTGACAGATCTGAAACATTTGTTCTGTCAAAATTATAACACCATTACTTCTAAAACCAATGGAAGATCTTGCTTCACAATGTATCTGCCTAAAGAATATTCTCTGAAAAGTATTTAAAAAACCAGCTTCTCAGATTAATCCTATTTTCCAGCTTTTCCCTAAAATAAAGGAATCTTCTCAGAGAGTACAAAATGGTCCAACTGCAACATTTGCTGCCTTCTGATAAGCAATCAATCAGACCCCCATGGGGAATATTATGGTCCACTGAGATCCAGAACTAGGCTACAAAACTCATTTAGTAGGGGACTGTCAATAAAGCAGGCAGGAAATTTTTTGATGAAATATTTTTAAATGAAAAATGCCAGTTTGTCAAAAACAAAGCTTTGTGGGACAGGGACAGTTCTGGCAACTCTCCCACTGTGAACACTTCTGGAAAAAAGGGTCAAAATTGTCAAAAGCTTTTGCTTCAACATTTTCTAAAAACGAAAAATTCTGGTTTTCAGGTTCAAAATTAAGTGTTTCAAAAAGTAAACTAATTAGACTAAAAAAAGAGGGGGGGGATCAAAACTGAAACCAAATATTTCAAATGACCCAAATCCAACTCTTTTTGTTTGTTTACCAAAATCTGAGTTTGACTCTTCATCCTGATTCAAGATAGGAAAATGTTTTGAACTCTCAAAAAATATTCATTAGATGAGAAAACAGTTTCTTGCCCAGTTCTGTCAGATGATAACAGTGAGAACAGAAAAATAGGGGCCCTTTTGTGGAATACTGCCAGTTTTGCATCTTTTTAATAGTGTGACAGCTTTATATTTGGGGACCTGACCACAGAGTGGAGAAGTGACCTTTTATTCATTTGAGTCCACACCAAAATTCATTTTTCTCTGTGGCAGGCTGGGAAGAAAGAAGACGAAGGACACAAAAGCAATCTTCATTCAATATGGAGTTGGATTCTGGGGCTAACTGTGGGGGAAAACAAGTCCAGAAAGGTTTCAGAGTAACAGCCGTGTTAGTCTGTCTTCGCAAAAAGAAAAGGAGTACTTCTGGCACCTGAAGTGAGCTGTAGCTCACGAAAGCTCATGCTCAAATAAATTGGTTAGTCTCTAAGGTGCCAGAAGTACTCCTTTTCTTTTTGCGAAGTCCAGAAAGGAAGCTGCAAAACAGGAGACATAAAGTGAACCAACAGGAACACTCTTCCAGAATTTCCTGCACCATTGGTTTAGAAAATTTCAAAGCAGAAGCAAAATGCTCTGAAAACAAAGGAACCTGGAGCCAGAGTTTTTGCTGCTGTAAATCAGTGTAGACCCACTTACTTCAGTTGGGTCACACTGATTTATGTCTACTTAGAATCTGGCCCACTGACTTCAGTGGCATAAGGTAAAGTTGCATCAGCTGGAGATCTGGCCCATGTTTGTATCCTTGTTATAGCTTTATAGTACCCTTCCAGGTTGTCAGCTGATGAGGGTGACAGGGCTGTTTTGGGAAGAGGGAAGAAGGAAACAGCAGGGACTCACATCAGCGCTATAAAACAAATCACATTGCACAGAGGAAAGGGATGGCCCGAGCAGCAAAATCAAGGAGAAAAGGGAAAGCTCAAGAAACTTACCTGAGAGTTGAAAAGTCGAGGGGTCAATTTCCAAGCCCTCGGTGTTTGTCTGCAGCCGCCTAAGCAAAATGCTCTTGATTCTTTCCGAGAAGGCCTTTCTGTTATCGTTTGAGGCGAATTCAAACATCAGCACAAGCTCCACCACCACTCCGCTGGTGTCTGGGCTGCAAACCGACATGACATTAAAGACCGAGGTGAGTGAGCACGTTTGCTACTTGTCCTCTCTTTCTACATGGCTTTAGTTTTCATTAGGTCCTCTGGGCCTTACTTGGGGACTGACACACAATAGAAGACAGGGGGATGGGAAGGATCTAAGCAGCTAGCAGGGGATTTTGACTGAGCTCATCCTGTCAGAGTGATTGGGGAGGTCAGTGGGAATCTTGCCAAGAGCAAAGAAAAAGACAGGGGCAAAGGATGATGTTAAGGAGAGCAACATCTGAGGGTGGTGGTGAGGGTGAGCTCAGCATACGACCATGTGGATCATGGTCACAGGGTGACATATGGCCATTGGAACCACGGAGCAGTAACCAGAAGAGGTTTGTGCCCGACAGCTCTGACTGAGGCATCTGGATTAAGTGTGCTGAAGGATGGAACTTCCACCACTTCCCTTGCCGCCTAAATTCACCCTTTCCTCCACAGCACTCTGTGGTTCCCCTCCTTCCTTAGTGACCATGCCCTGGATACGCTCCCCAGCCATTAGTCGGCACTGAATGAAGCTCCATGTATTTAACTCTTTCCTACTTTCCTTGAAAGCCAACCCCCCTCCAGCAACTTCACCACTTCTCTAGCTCAGCACTGAACTCCCTCCCAATTGTCAGTACCTGTGTGGTAATGAAGCGCCTGGACACGCTATTCCCCGAGTGCTCATATCAGTACCACACAGTGTCATCTGTGCTATAGAGCAGCCATAGTCTGCAGCCTGCCTCTCCCATGACACTGCCTCTGGGTAAGTTATTCAAACCTGCATGGGCTTTTCTTGTTTTTGCACTGCTCTATCACCCTGCATGCACCTCTCCACTTATGAGCATCTGATATAAGGTTCACTGAACCCACTCCTGGGACATCGAGAAGAGAAAGATCCTGTTACTCTGGGCCACTTTGCAGAGCAATCTGGAGACCTTGAACTGGGTCAGGTCCCACTAGAGCTCTCTGCTCCTCTTGGGTCAAGCGGATACCTTAAGTGCTCAATCTTGGCTTCTTGGGGGTCAGTGACCATGAAGACACTGTTGTGGGAAAGACAGAGGCACTGGGCCTTCCTCTGACTCCCCCTGCCCTGCCCCCTGTGCAGACACTTATACTAGCTCAGCATGGCAGCCTTTCACACCCATTTTGCACAGGGGTAAGTGACAGCAGAACGGGCAGGGGGCAGCCATACCCCCAGTGACTGCAAGCCGTGGAATAGCCTCCAGGCCGGCATCTTGCTGCTGAAAAGTCCTGGTTGATGGCAACAGGATGTGTTTCCCCTGCCCTCCTGCTACCCCAGACTGGGAGAAAGGTTCATCCGAGTGAACCTCAAGTAGGAAACAGACCTGCTGAGGAAGAAAGCGGCATTTCATTTTACATACCGCAGGTTGACGACATGGGACCTGATGTACTTCTTATTGAAAATGGAGGCTCGAAATGTATTGGTCACCTGTTAAAAGGAGAGAAAATGTTTGTGAAACAATACAATCAGGTGTAACAGCAGCGCACTCTCAGCTAAGGCATTCTGTTTGGAGAGCATCCAGAATACAAGACTACAGTGCTCAGGCTCCTAACTCTATCAAAGCCCATAGATCAGGGGTGGGCAAACTTTTTGGCCTGAGGGCCACATCAGATTTCTGAAATGGTATGGAGGGCCGGTTAGGGGAGGCTGTGCCTCCCCAAACAGCCAGGCGAGGCCTGGCCCCCAATCCCTATCCGATCCCCCCTGCTTCTCACCCCCTGACAGACCCCCCAGGACTCCCGCCCCATCCAACCCCCGCTCTCCCCTGACGGTCCCCCATGGAACTCCTGCCCCATCCAACCCCCGCTCTCCCCTGACAGGCCCCCCAGGACTCCCGCCCCATCCAACCCCCGCTCTCCCCTGACGGGCCCCCTGGGACTCCCGCCCCATCCAACCCCTGCTCTCCCCTGGGGCTCCTGCCCCATCCACCCGCTCCCTGAATGTCCTTCATTTGACCCAAGAGTCTTGCTTTCAAAGAACCATCCAACTGGCACGGTGCAGTCACAGCCTCCGGACCCCCGCCCCATCAAACCCTTCCTCTCATTCCTGACTGCCCCCCTGGGACCTCTGTCCCATCCAGCCACCCCTTTTCCCTGTCCCCTGCCTGCCCCCGGAACCACTGCCCCTGTGTGCCCCCTGCTGCCCCATCCAACCCCCCCCCTCCTTCCTGAATGCCCCGCCGGGACCCCTGCCCACATTCAACCCCGCTGTTTCCCGCCCTCTGACTGCCCCGACCTCTATCCACACCCTCCCCCCCGAACTCCCCTGCCCTCTATCCAACCCCCCTGCTCCCTGCCCCCTTACCGCGCTGCCCAGAGTGCCCGGACAGGCAGCCGCGCCGCCCGGCTGGAGCCAGCCATGCCACGGTGCAGCACAGAGCACCGGGTCAGGCCGCCGATGGAGCCCAGAGCATGGCGCCAGTGGTGCAGTGAGCTGAGGCCGTGGGGGAGGGGGAGCAGCGGGGGAGGGGCCGGGGGCGAGCCTCCCGGGCCCGGAGCTCAGGGGCCGGGCAGGAGGGTTCCGGGGCCGGATGTGGCCCGCGGGCCGTAGTTTGCCCACCTCTGCCATAGATGAATGTCCTTCATCCAACCTAAGAGTCTTGCTTTCAAAGAACCATCCAACTGGCATGGTGCAGCCACAGCCCATTCACAGAACTGACGAGGTTCACTGTACTCAGCTTAACCTCGTTCGAACACATCACAGAGTACAGGGGAGATCGAGCGCAGTGTTCCCATCAATCAGGGCCCCCCCCCCGACGGGTTAGTGAGTTAGGGGATGGCTGTCCTGAGCTATGAATTATGTGCTTTCCGCTCAACAGAAGAGTGTCCACGTGTTGCTTCTGTTCCCATATTCTCAACCGCGTACCCACCCCAGCAGCTGCAGAGAACATATTTGGCCAATTGGCTAGCATTTCATGCCCCCCTGGTTTCTGGCACTGAGATTCAATAGTGAGACACTGATCGGGACTGCACCGTCTAAGTATTCACACAGCACCAGTGTTGGGCTTGAGCCAAAACTCAGTGAAGCCAGTGGAAAGAGCCACACTGATTCCAACGGGCTTTGGATCAGGCCCTCAATTCCCAAAGCGCTGTTCCAGCATGTCCCAGGCTTGCTGGAAACGAAGTGGTAGTAGCTGTTGTAAGAATACACACATTAAAGATTGTGAGGCACTTAAATATGACTGAAATGGGGCCAGAAAAAGGCCTCAGACAGACAGAATGCCGTCCTTTCTATTGGATTATTTTAGCCTGCTTTATAAGCCTTAATGAATTAACCCTGTGAAGGAGGAATTATCATTCTCATTGCTTCCACTGGGAAACTAAGGCATGAAGGAATTGAGTGACTTGGGTCACACACCAGATGAATTCCAGAACCAGGAACTGAATGCAAATTTCCTGATTCTTAGCCCTCTTCTTTACCCCCAAGACTATCCTTCCCTTTGGATGGAGCCTGGACACTACGGCCTGGAGTAGAACAGCATCTCATTCCAGTCACGTAACCCAGGACTCTCAGGGACATTCTTGGGGGGAGAAAGAACAATTCTGACTTACCAACATCTCGATGCTTGTGCTCAGGTCTCTGTATTCTTTTGAGGTGTGCTTGTCAAACTCACGGTTGTACTGGACATTAGTGATTTTAAAGGTCCCATTGTAAAAGTACATATCCTGATCTATAGAGGCAGAGAGAAGCAACGGTCAATGCCTAGGTTACCATTTGGAGATAGGTAGCATGGCAGAGCTAGGTAGCAGATGTCATGGCTCCCAGGCAGGCAGAACAGGACTCTGGGTTTCTGGTTCTAATCTCACTTATTCCACGTCAGTGGAGTTACATGGACTAGATTTGCAGCTGAGTTCTGCTCAGTGCTGTGGGCAAAGGGGGCTCTAAGCCACCTTTAGCTCCTCCAATCCTTGGGCAACCAGAGACTCGCTTTTGTCTTCAGTGTTAACCTGAAGGAGCCTTTAAGCTGCTCAAAGGTAGGCCAGCTGCAATAGAGCCCTTAGGGACCACTCTGTCAGCCAGGGATTGGCAGCATACAAGACACACAAGCCACATACCCGTTCCGTCCCAGCACAACCCTTCCCCTCTGCTCCATGCCCTGCTCTGGGATGTCCCTATCCCCAAGAGGGAGCAGTACAGGCAGCATAGAGCTGGCTACACCACCTTGGACTTCCCTGCGCAAGGCTCTGGTCCACAGAGCAGATTCGACCCAGGGTATTGCATCCGAGCCTACATTGATTTCCAACTCTGAAGCAAGACAGCAGAAGGCACTGTGCATCACAGAACCAGAGCTACAGAGTGACTGGAGGCTTTCCCAGCCAGCTTTATCCGCCACTCTGGACAGGATGGGCCACGTGCAAAGTTTATGAATTTGCAATCTCCTTTCAACTAAATGTTGCTCCTTTAGCTGAAGCAGTAGGGGCTTTTGCTTTTGGATCCAGACATCCTAGGTTCAGTCCTTGAAGACAACCCAGTCAGGGACATCATTACATAAAGCACTAAAATAGGAACATAATCCTGCAGTGGCTGGATGCTAGTAGACCTCGGACTTACTGTGATAACTGTCCATCAACCGCTCTACCTGGACCCCAGCAGAGGAGACAGAAATAGAATGGACAGAGATTTTAAATCCCTACTTTAGACAAATGGCTGGTTTTTAAGAGGTGTTTTTAGGAAAGTGCTAATTACACCCTTAGCATGGGATTAAAAGGTCCTAAGTGGGCTTACATCCTGGGGTGAATTCCATCCTTTGTACAACACACAAAGATCACAAGAGTAAACTCCCAGCACGTACAATTCACCAAGACTGTCACACTTACCAAAGAGCAAAAAATAGACAAGCAGACCGATGACTAGAGCCAGAAAGAACACGACTGCCAGAACAATAAGGGCTACCTTCCATGGTTCCAGAAGCTTCATTCTTGTGTCCAGCTGGGTCAGCCTAAGAAGGGGGGAGAAAAAAAAATCAGACTTTG